GCTTTCCAAAATCCGTTTCCACTATAGAAAATATACGTCACGGTAAGATAAAAAATTTTAGAAATTTATTTTACGAGATAAGCAATGTAGATATGAACAAAACATTAACAATTTGTGGATAGGACCTTTATTTTCATTTATTTATCTTCAATATGCTTAAAACTTGTTTAAACTTGAATATTCCCCGGGTTCCTTTCCATTTCTTGATGAGTATACGATTGAAACTCTTGATTTCGAACGTCTTGCTACATCGGTCTATATCCAGCGTTAAAATATTGCTTTTATTAATAACTTTTGACTGGTTTCTATACTTAATATTTCAGATGTATATTCAGATGTGTATTTAGAAAGATCCTATCCATAAATTCTTAACTTTTGGTTCATATCTGCGTCGCTCATCTCGCAAAATAAATTTCTAAGATGAATCTTTTATTTTATCATGAGAGTACGATATACCGTTATAAAAGTTCTAAGAAAACCGCGTGGTTTTCTTATATTTTGCACGAGCATATCATTTAAATGTAGAACTTTCCAAGAAGAGATTCCGGTAAAATTCTCACGTGCAAAATTTTCAACCGTACTCAATACTAGCACTTCAAGTTATAAAATACGTAACACAAGCTATAGATTTGCAGTGAATATCGGAATATATTTTAACGTTTACCGTATCTGTCTGAAAGAAAGTATTGCAAAAACTCCCTGTTGAACAGAACAGAATACACTTCCGGTGATCATAAACAATCTGTTCATATATACATATCTTGTATAAAAAGCTTGAATGTAACGGCATGATGAACAATCGTTGCGAGTTAGTAAAAATGCGTTGTTAGTAAAAATTCCAAGGTACCAATAAATGTTACAATATTTAAATCGTGATATTAGAGAAAATGGCGATTCGCAATATAAATAGTTATTGCTCGTAACAGATTAGTGAATAATGAGTAAACGAAGTTACCTTATCGATTTGATATATGAAAGTTCGGAAAACTGACTTTCATGACGACGATTTTCATACCATTGTGCGGCGTCGGCTGCTGGATCTCGACGTCGGTTGTTGGGATTCGGCGTCGGCGTCAGTTGCTGTTGTTGCTGGAGCTCTAGAGCTTTCCGATATACTGCCAACAATATCCTCTTAATATCCCGTATACTTCCAGAAACGACACTATGTTAGTCATCTTGGCCCCGCAGCTCTCCGCGTCTCTCTCGTAACAACCAGTTGCACGCTCGAAAGTCTACAACCGAATGAAGGACGGCTTGGCGAGACGGTGGATATAACCATGCCGAAAGGTAGTTGGAGGGAATACGCATTCAAAAAGAAGGGACCGTACCGAAAGATAGTTGGAGGGGATACTCATTCAAAAAGAGAGCGACCGTACCGATACATAGTTGGGAAGTATACGCACCAAAGAGAGCGCCAACCATAGAGTTAGTATATAAATAGAGTGCCAGAGTGAGCCCAAAACCTGTCCCGTGCATAAAAAGAGATAGAAAACCGAAGGACCCCTCTGTCTCTCTCTCTAATCAGTGACGTCAGTTAGTGACGTCAGCAAATTGGTTCGAGCCAATGGCACAAATCCACTTGGTTCGGAGATCATCAACACTAGGAAATCTTTGTAGAAATGTATCAGTACATACATTAATATGAAAATATTTTTAAATTTCAAATGTAAACAAAAATACATAACCCTAGAATATACACTCACTTGTGAAAAATTATGTTTTTTGTTAAAGGATTGTGTTTCTTTTTGCAAACATAACACGACCTAACCATTTTGCAATGCTACTTTTATAACAATATTTATTTCTTAATTAACATGTGGTTGGTTACAACCTCTAACTTGGAAGAGCAGACGCCGCGTACACTCTGCCGCCGCGCACGCTCGAACCAATTTGTTGACGTCACTAACTGACTGATTAGAGAGAGACAGAGGGGTCCGTCGGTTTTCTATCTCTTTTCATGCACGGGACATTTCCACTTACACTCGTATATGGCGCTTCGGTACTCTATTTATATATTAACTCTATGGCTCCAATCAAACGTGCGCTCAGCGCTACACGTTGCAGGTGGCTCCTCTATAGGCAAGTTCCACTTAACGCTCGCAACGATTGCGAGCATCGTTCTGTCTTGATTTAACATCCAGGAGGAATGAGGATAGAATGATGCTCGCGATTGTTGCGAACGTTGAGGTCTTAGGCCGGTATTCATAATCGAATCTTATATTTAAGACCCGATTATGAATATTGGCCTTAGGATACGTTTGATTCACGCTTACTGCGTGTACTGTAAGCGTTATTGGTTAGATTCAGCGGAAATAGCTGTTCAGAGAATGATTATTGCTCTTAATTGGTATATACTTCTATTAGATCAATCTGAAAGGATTAGAGATAGTTAAAATCATCGATGTTCGCTCATTGAAGATAGTATTGCATCTAGAGAGAATGTTAGGGACTCTAGAAATTCTCTAGCCAATAGCCAATCGGCACATTCGAGAAACCCGTACGACGTATCATCAATAAATGAACATCGATGACTTTGTTCGTCCCTAAAAAGAATGCTCCAGCCTAAGTTCCGGCCTACAATAGGTGCTTTAAGCTCTAAGCCTTAAGAAATTGACCAATCGATTATTCTCCTTATATTCTCATATTCTCATATAAAACAAAAGTCTGGAGACATTTCAAAAGTGTATATTTCATTTAAAATAATCGAATGGAATTAAAAATATCATTCATAGGTTAACTTGCTGCATTTAATGTATGATAACCACGTTTAGCGGAACGTTTATTTTCGAACTGTTGGAAGTTTTCCAAGCGGCGATTGGATTATTATTTTAGATTTAGAAGAATAATCCTATTTCAGGGTAATTAACTTAGAAGGGTTGTAAAATAAACATTCTACTGAATGAAGCCAATATACTATACGTCATATTATTGTAAAATCTCATCACATATTTGTGTCATAATTTTACATCGTATTATTAAAAGTAACAAATATTAATATACTTATTTCCTACCATCATAATTATTAATAAAAATATATACATATTTTTTCAATTATTCTTTTAAAAGCAATATTCCTTTACACTTCCAAGATGTTTAAAATGTACCGCTGGACATCTGTTTCCGGAACGTCATTGACGTCACTACATTAAACCAATTTCGATTGTCTGCGATATATCGCAACTTGCTCTTTCCTGGTATCTTTTATTTAATGGGACACTGACTCTGTTGTTCACATATGATATTATAGACATAAAGGCACTTCAAAATGAAGCTTTATTGCGACCGTGACCGCTCTCAGGTAATAGTAAAAGTTTCTCTGATAATAGTAAAAAAAATAGCATAAAAAGTACATTCCCAGTAGACAAATTATTCGCAGACTGCGTGCAGATCGGCAGCAAACTTGATCGGAATCCCATACCGACAGCATAGCCATCTTTATTCACGTTCAGCTCGTGTTTTGACGATGGAGATTTATTGCCGTTCTGCAATCAAGAATTTAAAACAGATTCTACTCGAAATTTGTTTGCGCTGATTTGGCTATCTGGGTTTATAGATTAAATTTTTATATCGATTTAACTTTTAAACAGCGAGCACTGCCCTTACAAAATGTATTGTTTGCTTTGATGAATTGGCCAGTATCATGTTACTATTACTAAGCAGTTTTGTTATTCGTACGAGTAATAAAACTAAACAATAATTTATCACTGGCTAATTTATCACAACCAATATTTTTCTGTAAGGGTGCCACTGTTATTTAAATAACTTGATATTAATTATAATATTAATATTATTAATTTACAAAACGCAAAAATATATAAACTCAACATAAACTTCTAAGAGATTTCATAAAGACATCTAGAAAATAGGACGTACTTTGGACGTCTTTAAGATATTTTTTAGAAGTTTGTGCTATCTGGAAAGTTAACAGTTAATATCATATTTGTTAATTTTTTATTTATATTTAAAAATAAGCTATAACAATAAGTTCCTAATATATGGAATGCTTTGATTTTAACGAATAAACTCTACACAAATATATAGGCATAGTTACTTTTGTATCCATAATACAGATATTAAGTTATTCTTAACCAATTCATAATTATTGCATATTATGTAATAATTAATGAATTACATTTTGAATACAAAGCAGTTATAATCTTACGATTATACGTCTCTTTTTAATGCCTATATATGTTCGCAGTATTTAATGGTAAAATCTAAAGCATCCTATATATATATGTATATATATAGGACATGTCTGTATAGCAGCACATTATTGCTATATTCCACCGTAACGTTGCCATAACATTTCATTGCAATGTTTTTGAGGGTGGGCATTTTAACGTTGTCAAAATTAATCTAACGGTAGCGTTACAGTAACATTTCGCAACATAAATGGAATATTACAATGTTTCAGTATAATGTCTATACAATGTTCCTGCGACCTTTCTGTGCTGTATTGAACGATATAAAATAACTAGATAAAATGTTTATATAATCGTGTATTAATGTCTATTGTAATTATAATTTCTCCTGTCTTTTCAATTTTCAAATTAACGATAAAAAGTTAAATTTGTCGTTCAATAATTTTAAACATTTCCTTATTCAGCTGAGCGAACGTGAACGGAAAAGTGACGTTAATAAATATAGATTAAGAGTAACTTTAAACGAAATGCAAAGTCTACTTAAGCGACAAACCTATTTTTAGTAGTTTAGCGAATTTTATGAATCTCATTCTACTAATTATAAGAATGTATATATTGTGCATTGTATCTATATAAATAAATTATATAAAAAGAATATATATTTCTTAGTATTTTATATTTATATTATTATATGTGACGGATTAAAAAAGACATTTTTATTTTTACATAGTATATTTCAACGGCGAGTTATGTATTTTAAAAGTTATTAAATGTAAATAACGATAGGAGCAACATATGTTTAAATATATATATATATATATATTTACGCATATGTGTATATATATTATTCTTTGGAGGAAATTAAAACATATCCTTATATATAGATATACGTGTATCTTTGGACAACGGAATGTAATTGTATATGTACAAAATTACGCACAGAAAAGCGTACTAGAAAATTTTATCGAAATTATACCCGTTTATACGTTACACGAAGCATATGTTTCCATCATTTTGCAAAAGTCGTTTGGGCTCGATAAACGCGGTCAAAAGTGTCGAAGGAAGAAAGGATAAAGTGAACGCGTCGATATAATAATGCGCGACGCGTTTCGATTTTTTATAAGCAGAAAATGAATTGTTAAGTAAAACTAATGCTTCATAATAAATATAAATAAGCGGTAGGAACACACATCTCAATAATTGTTTCCTAGACACAATTCCAAATTCGCAATAACTGAACAGCTTTCGCCGAAGTGATCCTTTTCCTATGATCTCTCGGTGTGAGCGGTGGTTGTCGACGTTATAACCGAGGCGAGGTCGCCGCTGGACTGACTAGTGATTGGTTCTAGTGGTGGCACGCTGAAAAAAGAAGAGAACATTATTGAAAGTATGCACCTAAAATTATATAATTATTAGATATAGCACGGCAAATATTTCGCAAGTTTTTCTGATTTCACGTCGTACCTTCGACCTGAATACAAAAGTCTCGATTCCGATGCGATCGTTCGCATCCTTATACCTATAGATCTACTAAAGTTCAACGATCTCGGATATTATACGACAATAACGTAACAATTATACATTCTTATATTGCAATGAATACACACACACTCGACAAATTAAAAGTTGCAACGCTTTTTCTTTCGTGAATTTCGCAACGCATTTTGTGTCCAATAGGAGAATTTGTTTGTTAGTAATTTTCAGAAGATACATTTATTGGATAGAAGTTTGTACTAGAAATTTATCGGAAAAAAAGTGTTGCGATTTTTCATCAGTCGACTATACAAGTGTTTTACAAGTACAGCATAGTGACATCGGAAACGTCTAATCAGGTGCATTATATTTGAATACTTGTATATTACGACTGCTGCGCGCTTTGGAGTATCGTTGCCGAATAATGAGTGATAATGATTATTATTCAGTGAGTCGGCGCGAATATATGCACCTGATTAGAATGCGTCGATTTTGTACTCGCTGGGAATCTGCGGTGCGAGCAGAAGCCAGACGAGAGCGGCCCCGGATCAAACGCGGGTTTACTTCGGATTCGGACAGACGAGAGGCGAGTCAGGTATGAACTTGTGGACTTACGTAAGGGTGGTTTGGCGATTCAACACGGCGGCGGTAGGTAATGCGAGGGGCGAGTGTGCATGCGCTAATTGTGCCGTAGATGGTGTACCTACAGGAAGACAATGCTCTTCGACCCCTCCACCACCCCCACCCCCGCATGCATACACGTTCAACTGCAACGAGTCCACTGCAACGTCAACAAAAAAGAGACGTCATCGGTCACGATTACTCTGAGTCGCATACCGTGCGCTGATTGCGCGCGTGTGTGTGTGTATGTATTTTTGTATACATTAAATCTTAAAACGGTTTGAACACTTCTTTCTCGATGCGGTTTAAAACGCAGACGATAGTCCAGTGAGAGAAAACGAGTTTTTACTCATTGTTCCATCGTTCGCGCTTCGAACTGCATCGAAAAGTGTCCGAACCGTTTTGAAATTCAGCGTACTCAGGTGGAAAAGGAAATGACGATAATGTCGAAATGATGAGAAGACGATCGAAGTGAGTTTCTCACCGTCATTCCTTCAGGCAGAGCGGAAAGTCACGATAACGTCAAAATAACGTCAAACTGACGAGATGACTATGAAAAATTCACTATTCGTCGCGCGGTCGCCTCGACAACGACGAGCGTGGAACACATACCGATCACGTAGTCGTCGAGGTAGTCCCCCGTGTGTGATCCTCCCCCGCGCTCCCCCCCGCGTAGCACCCTTCGTGCGCTTGTTCCTCGGGGTTAATCCCCGCCGAGGAGAAATATCCGTCGCCGCGCGCTATCGCAGTACATCCCACGCTTCTGACCAATCCGAGACACTATCGACGGTCGTGTGTACTCTCGTCGGACCTTCCCCGAGCCCCCCTTCGTGCATGTAGCGAGCGATCGTGTGTGTTTAGTCAGCCATCACGATTGACAACGGACGACCGAACGAAACGGCCGACCGAATGACTGAAAAGACCGACCGACACGACGAGGGATTACTGACCCCGGCGATTGCGGTTCTGCCGCGAAGGACGATATTTACGGGGCAAACCCCGGCCGCTTATTCTTACACGGGGTGAGGCAATGACTGTTACCATCTTGAGTATCGTCGGAACGTGAGGGAGGAGGAAAAATGTATCCAACGGGAATTGAATTGGCACAGAAAGGAAATGATCAGATAGATAACAGAAGTAAAATTCTACTGCTGAGAAAAGCTATTGCCGGGTTTACTTCCTTACTTGTCGGTAATATCCTCGAAATGGTAATAATTGGTTATTGCCTCATCCTATATATGAATATCGATGATATTCTATGAGGGTGGTTTTTCATGCCCTTATTTGAATCGTCGATTTTAGATATAATAATGTAAATGGTGTAATAGTTCAAGGGCGATCGCGAGAATCTTATCACGTTCTGTGCGATTCCCCCCTCCCCCCGCTCTCTCTCTCTCTCTCTCTCTCTTTCTCTTTCTCTCTCACGCGTGCAGCACCGCATTTTTTCGAGCGCATATTTCGGTCAACCCCCGCGGCCTGTAGGTACACCTAATCGAAATCGCTAAATTAACGAGGATGTAAGTGATGCGAAGATAAGGGAATATACAGGGGATATGATCGAAACACTGAGAAAAAAAACGTCTTTATTATATTTTTTTTTCCTTTTTTTCTCTTTTTTTTCTTTATTAACACATTGACTGCCAAATGCGGTCTCGTAGCCGGCGTGCGAGAAAAATTACCCGTCCCGCGCGAGTTAACGCGCACGGGTCTTCCTTACGGGATTAAACTCTTATTGCAATTTTAACCGAATAATAAATATAAAATTGACTAGTATATCTCTAAGTACGTAACATTCTGATTTTTGGAAAATCGTCGGCAACGAAGTTCCCTAATGTCACTGCGACAGTCAACGTGTTGTAAGGTTTCGGCCATTTCCAACGGTCGTTGATGGAAATTGAGACACTCTCGCAGGACCTTTCACCCTGTATATTCACGCTGAGGCCATGTAAATGGAGAATGAGCTTCTTTGTCAATGACGTTGATGGCGTTAGCGAAAATAGACTGTAGAATAGACTTGCTCACCGAAGACTCACCGAGTAGATTGGGCTTTATGTCGGCCTTGTGGATACCACTGGGCCCAGGCAGGTTGCCGCTCATGTTCGTGTGACTCTTTGGTTTTCTCTTACGCGTCTGTATCCCTTCCTTTTTCATGCTAAGTGGCCTGTTCATCTGCTCATATAATAAAAGCAATACCATCGGATTAGATAAGAAATTTTGCAACTTCGATTCTTAACGCTCTCGAGATAAAGGAAGTCGCAACGAAATGCAAAACTCGAGACTTCTATTCCCCTCCTAAGGAGATCGAAACGTGCATATCATTCACAAACTCTTGCTGTATCTGTCATATAAATTGGCTCGAAGCGGATAAACAGCCCTTGAGATTCCTGATTTTTCACTGCGCTCAGGCTTGTTTGATGACGTTAGAAGCGAGGAAACGTATGCCCGAAATTCTTGCGCGATACATTGAATTCAAAGTCCAAGAAATGACATTTGTAATCGACCGAATACATTTGTCGAACTTTCCTTCTGCTCTAACAATCGATAAATAGCTATTAAATTAGCACGATACGCAACCTTCCTTTGTAGCCAATCTTTCCTCATGATTTTGTTATTCTAATTTAATAGCTATTTACTGAGATTGTTAAGTAAAGGGAAAGTTTTCGAGATATTTTGCACAGAAAAAAATGTGCTGGAATCAAATAAATTATCTGTTTTCCAGTCTTTTAAATGAAGTCATATTTTTATCATTTTAAGCATGTTTTAATAGTTTCTAGTAAATACTTACTTGAACGCAATAATCCTATAATTTGCAAATTAATTACTGAACGTAAGTATAAAATGGTGCTAAATGGTGCTAAATTTAAGAGAGCGTCCAGCAAACACCAATTAACAACAACATAACATCAATGTTATAATTTCCCACTCAACAATGTATATGCAATACAACGCGCGTTATGTAATAATTATTAAGTGAGAAATTGACAATATTGATGTTACGTTGCTATTAGTTCGGTGTTCACAGAGTATTTTTTGGAATAATGCAATACTTCTTTTCCATTGAAGAAACCTAATGGTTTCAAATCTCGATTTCTCCGTCCGGTAAATATTTTCTCAAAATAAATTCTAATATTCTCAATATGACGAATTTAATACTCGTTGCAATTGTTTTAACACGTACAAGTAAATATCTAGAAAGGAAATACGAAGGAAATATCATATATAATCAATTATATTTCTAGTTCTGGAAAATATTTGCCAGAATATCGTAGTAACCATCCCGGATAACATTGAAACGTCCTAAGACGTCGTGAAAACGTCTTTTAGACATACGTGTCGCTTGGAATTTCGTTAGGATCAAATAAATATTGCTTGAACGGTAGCATTTTTTTCAATGTACAAATATGCTCAATCGACCTCACAGATATCATTACATGGACAGATCCTTTTATTTCATATTCCACAAGAAGGGGAGGCATACATTCCCTCGTTTCTGACGTAAATGATCAAGACAGCCGCGGCGGGGAAACAGGATCCTCAAATAGACGATTTTGAAGAATAACACTACTGAAAATGACTATCAATGCGAATCCGTAAGCCCGGTCCGTTTCCGTGAACGACTTTTTCGACGTTCATGCCGCGTTCACGCGAGCGAGGGATTAAAAGTGGAAAAAGCCAGACGCGACAAACATTTCCTCCGATCGATCCTCTCGGCACGGTCGCACGTCGATCCCTGCTTTAATTAAATTTGTTGTCACAGATCCAGCGCGATAAATCGCGGCACCTCGCCAGCGGGCATTCGTCGAGACGAGGTTGTCTCACGCGCGGTAAAAACAATCAAGTCGCCGTTATCGCGGCCGATGATCGCAAAAAGGCCGATAACGATGCGCTGACCAGTCGCCGTGAGATTAATGTTAATTAAAAATGATTTACTTCGCCGCTCAGCGGTGTCTTTTTATATCAACGACAGCGGTGGGAGACATTGTGCACGGTTTCCCGGAACATTCTTGCGACACTCTTCGCGCGCGCGGAAAAATCTGCTCCTCGGGAATTGAATTACGCTCCGGGGCAATTAGCAATAAGCGGTATCTCTCTCGCGAGCCGCGCTATTATTGACACTAAGTTGTCACTTCCTTTCCGCCGTCCGATCACGCAATCCTCGCAAAAATATCGAGACGGGGATCGCGCTAGTGTGAATCAAGTCTCTTCAGACTTACGTTATGCAGTTTATAGTAAAGCCCGCAGGCGTTGCAGACCGGCTCGCCACTGTTGTTCCGTCTCCAGAGCGTGGTGTTGCTCGTCTTGCAATTCGCGCACTGCACCCCCGTCCTCCGCACGCTCGTCTGCGACATAAAGCTTTTTCATTGCCGTGTAAATGGAATAGCCCACAGAGAGAAGAGTTTTTGTTAATTCAACGAGATACCAATATCAACAATTCGATTCCGCGAGAATTTCGCGCATTTATGTTTTCTCAGTCCTGACGTCGGATGGGGAGCCTTAATCGCGCGAGTAATCGCACTCGTCCGCGGCATTTCGAGCTTCCTCTCGCGAGCGGCGCGCGAAAGTGCAGCGGAAATTCGGAGCGTGGTAATCGGTGACTCAGAATGAATCTCCGATGGCACTCTCTGTTATCTAACGAAGTTGCGGAATTAAGTCACGCATTTCGCGCGCGATATACTTCCGCGCGCCGGGCGATTTGCGAATTGGAAAACGTTGCTTCGCGGGGCCGCTCGCGAGACAGAATCGGTTGCGTCGCGTTCGGCGGGCGACGATGACGAGGACAACGGGGACGATGTTTGAGAAATCGAGACTACGAAAATGGGAGTGCTCGCAGCAAGGAAACTAGAGCAAACAACAGCCGCCAACGAGTCCCGTAGTGATTATTTGCTCGGCGAGAGATAACGCACCTCTTCCCTCTGTCTTTCGCGGCGGCGGGAGGAAACGGAGGAGAGGGACGGGTAGAGAAGAGAGAGAAGAAAAAGAAAGAGAGAGAAGGAGAGGACGTTACTTAATATCGAAGCCGTGTTGTACGTTGCTCGGGTGAGAAATTTATCAGGGCAAATATCGGCGGCCTCATTTCGGCGATGGTCAAACGGATATTCATCGACGGCTTTAAATATATATAATATATGTATATAAATGGAACGACATAGGATACGTTAGGATTGTAAGAGCCGAAAGATTTCTGCAGGAGATTTTTACTCCGTCAATTGTTCTCAGTTTGTCTCAAACCGAGTTTTAAGGAGGTATTCTGATTTTAAAGTCGCAAAAAGATATTTTTCGAGAATTTTTTTGTAGAAAAACGAAAAAACCAAATGACACGACTTGCTATCGTCTGAGCTAGAATAAATATTATAAGTTTATTAGTTGTTTTTTTAAATAAAATATTAACCAAATTTTGAGGGAAACTACAATTTTTCAATATAAAAGGCCCGCCTTTTTTTCCAGAATGGAAATATTGGCTTAATTCTAGTTCAGACAGTAGCTGTATTTCTAAATAAGAAAACTTTCGGTTTTCTTTTTTTCAAATACTTAAGACAGACTCATTTACACCGCCCGTGTGTGTCTTTTTTTCTACGAGTTTCTAGAACCAGGATATAACAGAAAAAAAGAGAATTTTTCCTAAGAAAAATAAAATAAGAATAAAGCAAGAAAATAAAATAAGATGCAAAGAACGTGCAAAGTTCAATGTTAAAAAAGAAATCCCCCAAAATATCATTTTCCTTCCAACCCTTCAAACCGGAAGAACACCCCTTTAACGCTAAATGTCCAAACGAATGTTCTCAGTCACGGTAACAGAGACGTCGATTACAAGTTTTCATTTCTCCGAGGGTTTTCATCCGGTTCCATCGCGGGAAGTGACTTCTTTTCAGCCGCGTGCCAAGCAGATTAACAGATTAATCGCGATCCGCACATTTACCGGTGTGACCGACTGCTTCGGTTTGGAGCACCTCATTGGCGGCCTGTTGATCCCGTTCATCTTGCTGTAGAGCCCACAAGCGTTGCAGAGATAATGCCCTGTGCCGTCTCGTCGCCACAAGGGCGTCATGCTGGCCGCGCAATTGACGCATTCCTTCGGCTCCGACGACATGACGGGATTGTCGAAGGTCTCTTCAGCGCCGGACAGAGGGAGCGTGGTCCAGGCGGACGGCGGCCCGTTGCCGCCGGTGACGCTGTAGCTGCCACCGGCGTACAGCTGCATGTTGGCGTCGCTCACGGAAATGGTGGTGATGCTCGGGTAGCTCGATACGTACTCCAGAGTCGGGGGCGAGGGTGTGCCGGTCGTCCAGTAAGGATCGCTCGGCGGCGGCTTCACGTATTGATAGGACGGCGGAGCCGTGTTGTAAAGCGTCACCTGCGAACCCGGCGAGCCGGGTTGCTCGTAGTGCAACGGGACTGTCCGGGAGGCGGTCAGGGATGACGCCAGCGTGGGATCGCCCTTTATGTACGTGTTGCCGGGGGATTCCACCTATCGAACGTGACATCGTCCATTTTGCACGCACGATGGGAGTTCAGGGAGAGAAAAGAAGCAGAAGATTACTATTCGAGGTTTCCCTGGTCCGCGGGATTGTTGCGTGTGGCTCCGTAGAGCCGCAGCTTTTGTGCAGCTTATCTCCAACGTCTTGTAAACGTTCCAGTTCACTTTATCTAAATCTGATGTATTGAAGTATGAAGTGAGCTGAAATGTTGACGAAACGCTAAATATGAGGGTGAAGTGGATTGAAACGAAACGTGAAGTATATAGATGAAATGTTCACAAAGCGCAAAATATGAGGATGAAGTAAGCTGAAATATTCGTAAGACATAAAGTACAAGAATAAGAATCAAATAAACTGAAATGTTTGTGTGTTTACGAAACGTCAAATACAACAATAAAGTCAACGGAAGGTTGAAAACTAATTATTTGACGAAATATCGGAGAAAAATGCACAAAAAAGCGGCTCCAGCTTGAAGAAATTACTGCCAATAGCATAGAAGTGATGGGCGATCTTTTAGAAAAAATCGATTTTTTAATCGAACTTAAATCGAAATAACTAGAATCGGTTTACTAAAAAATCGGATGAGAGAATCAATTTCCTAAAAATCGGCCTAAAAAAAATTACACGCAATAAATATTTAAACATATTCCTTCTGATTCTATAAATATATTTACTAAATCTAAAATTAATTTGGCCCTACTTATACAAGAGTGAATTTCTAGATTTTTGGTAATAATTTTCCCTTACAGCCAAACTCACCATCATTTATACAGTCCTCTGAAACGCATATCTAAAGTGATATCCTGATTATATCAGATACTGATCCCAGTGTGAATTTTTCATTAAACAAAAGAACATCGACGAATACGCATATCGACAGATAAAAAATCGACTCTCCATCTGAGAGAATGAATTTGTACGAAAATAGAGGAGAAAAGAGCCGGTTAAAAAGATCGATCTTCGGAGGAAAATGATTAAGATTGCCCATCACTATAGCGTAAGAAGATATCGACTGCGTCCAGAGGAACAAAGCGACGACGATGACCAGTCAGTGATTATTGGTCTCACCGTCAGATCCCGGAATTTAAGTCAATTACTTTGACGAATTGCTCAACAACAGTTACGCAACCGTATTGTATATTCTGAACTCAGCCAATCTCGAGATAGCGAGGAGAGCGTGTCGCTACTTACCTCGGTGGGCCTCGAGCTGAGTTGTGTCGCCGGTGGATACGCCAGTATAACCGAATCACTTGGTTTGGTGTAGCTGTACGTCGATGCCTGCTGGAAGCTCTCGTTGCCCGACAGATACTGCGTGTACTGGACAGCCTGCGTGGGCGGAATGGCGACCGTCTCCAGGGTGGTGTAGGTGTTGGAGGCTTTGATGTTCTCCGCAGCCACTGCGGCCTCGGTGTCGTACTTGACGACGGCGTTGGCGTCGGTATAACTCGTCGCCACGAGTTGCTGCGGCGGCGGTTGCTGTTGTTGCGGCTGTTGGCCGCGGATACTGTCGATCGGCGGCGAATACGGCGGCGCGGGTGACCCCAGGTGGACCGTGGATCCCGGCTGCGTCACGATCGCCGAGGTGTCGTAATCCTCCGTCGTGGCCAGCACCGGTGACGCCTGGTACCTGGTGGCATTGCTGTTACTCGTCCCGGACGCCTGATGGTTCTCGTGGGGACTGAATCTCTGGCCGTGGCCGGCCTGCTGCGCCCTCCGATGATGATCGGCCACCTGCACGGTGATCACATGGTTCTCCCTTCGCACCTCGTGACTGTCCTGATAGGCATAGATCTGCTCCACTTCCATACGATCGGGCGCGGGCGTCTCGTATCTTCGTGAACGAAAGAGTGTTCGGACGATTCTTAGACGCGATTCGGTTTAACTCGGTTAAGCTCAAGAGGCTACCGTAGATACTAAATAATGCTATTAAAAATCGATCTCTGAAGATACATTTACTCTCTCGACGACACATTCGACCCCTTGCTTATAGACGAGACATCTCGTCGCCCGAAGCGAATGTGTTTTTCTGTGCGCGCACAACAGAACTTTCTTTTCCTTCTCTTTTATCGCGTGATCCGAAAGGTTCCGTGTCAAGTTTGTCGAGCATCGGAAAAAGTTGTTAAACAGGAAGAGGAACACGGGGGTTGAAGAGATCACAATTTCCGTGGATGAAACTGTACAGCGCCTAATATAGTAGGTGTATTACAATTCTTTACCTCGGCGGTTCCTTGACCGTAAGTGTGATGGCCTCCGGGGTCTCGACCGAGACTTCGACTTGAACCTGCTGACCGTTACTGGTGGAGTAAACGACGCGTTGCTGCTGATCCGTCGCTCGTTGCTGATCGTCAACGCCTGAGTGAGGGATCGGGACGTAGTGGCCCTGCGGCTGATGAGTCTGCTGCTGCTCCTCTTGGTAACCCCGGGTTTGTTCGTGCTGCTCGCTCCCCCGCTGGTGAAGTCCCTGATGAAGATTACCAGTTAGCGAATTCGAGTCCGGCGATTCCGGGTCGACCTCGGAGCTGTCCTTGATGTGACCGGCAGTGGTGATCGTCCTCACATGCCGCCTCGTCGTGATGACGCTCTGAGGACTCCCGGCCATCTGATCTTCCGCCCCGTGAACATGAGGCGAGGTGTCGTCCGCGTGACCGTCCCACTCCATCTTGACCTCCTGCTTTACAGACGTCTCTTTCATCGCGTCCTGCACGAACCGAAGTGCGTCTACCTTAAGCGGCATGCAATCGTCTAATTGTCTTTCCTCCTCCTCGTTTTCTTATTATATTCGTTATAAGGAGAGAGAGAGAGAGAGAGAGACGCGAGTGAGAGAGAGCAACGGAGACGATCAGAACAGCGTTATCAGTATCGGAACGACGAAGCGAACGAAGTCATCTCTCGGGGATGCTCGCTCGGATAAGAAGAGACGAGATCGGTGTCTAGGTCGACAATCGTTCGGGAACTCTTGCTTTCGTCCGAGCGACTTCCGCTCCGGAAACGCGACCGTATCTATCCTGTTCGCTTCTCTCGTTAGTCATCGTAGAAGTCGAAGGAGTTACAAACATTCGACACTCTCGCTCTCGTGGAGATCAGCCCTGAGAAAGTAATAACAGGTTATACACGCGACTTCCAGTTTCGGAAACGTCGACACCGATCTCGATTCTTCTCACGGTCGATGGTGAATCAATTATTGACCCGACGACTCGCGGAGGATGTTCGAATTTAAGGTACTTGGATCCGCGTCTACTCGAGCCGAAATGTTGACCTTGTGTTAAATCTTGAATTCTAAAATACTAATGAGAGTTAAGGTAGCAAAATGAGTTCAATTTCAATTTCTAATAATATAATCTATTCCTACTTTGATCTTAATGACGTCTGAAATTTCCGTTTTCGCCGTTTTCACGCTAAATGGACTGTTCAAGGTAACATTAAAATTCAATCTGTGTACATTGAGAAGCAATATCTAAAAAATGAAAAATATTTATTCAGTAGATACTAATAACATATTTATTTAAATCCTAATTTTTTACTTAAATATAGGAAGTGAACAATTCCACTCACAAAAATTATGATTTTAAGGAACAGTATATTTTCTCATTTGAAAAAGGAAATTTTGTTCAATGTTAAACACCAGTATTGACGCAAGTAAATATATTATTAGTGTCCACCGCATGAATAAATATTTTTTTATATTTTTATGTATTTGTCATGTTAATTCAATCAATTTTTTCTTCGTGTACAGTACAATAGAAGCTATACTAACAAAATAGGTTCAATTTCAATTCTAATAATATAATTTACTCTTACATTGATCCTGATGATGTCTGAAATTGCCGTTTTAGCGTCAAAATAGATTATTTAAGACGACATTAAAATAAAATCTGCAGAATTCAAGGTTCAAGAGGAAAGTTAATAAGTATCAGTATCGTTAAAGTATCGTTAAAGTAGGTTTACCCCAGTCTATAAGCCATTTGAGTAAACGCAAACTGTCTTTAAGAGAGTCAAAATAGCATCAAAATTTCGACTTGGGATACGTCTTTAAAATTCATTTCACACACACACACACACACACACAGAGGCGATAGGTTCGACTACGTCGCTTATTAAAATTAACGATCAGGAGGATGGAGGAGGCTAACGGTCCTGCGGAGCGGCGATTAGTCATCCTTTCAGAGGAATCCTTCGGGGCACGCGACCGTTTCGGCCCGTGGGCGAAAAGTACACACACCGCTCGAGTTTAATGAGGAAGAGTGGAGGGAGAGGGAAAGGACCGGGGACACACCTCGTCCGTCTCGGGAAAAAATGCGAGAGGTGCTGTTTGCACTGTCGCGCGTCACACTTCCGCTCGGCAATGTCAAGTTTCGACTTCCGGCGCGACCGCACGCGACGACTCTCTTTTCTTTGGCAAAGACCTCGCGCGACTTCCGCCGAATCCCGAACGACGGCGACGACGACGATCTCGAGGCCCGTCCGGGGAGTACCTGCGTCGCCTCGCGGTGCGTCGAAAATTGGAGTAACGCGATGTCGAGTATGAGTCATGAACCGCGACGAAATGAACGATGAAAAAGTTGGTTAATACGTTCCATGCCACGTGAGCCGCCGGCGTAGTCGTTTGATACTTTCGCTCTTAAACGAAACATAATCGTGAAGTATCTTGTTAATTATTATAACAATTATTATTATTATCATCGCGTGTTATTCGACGAATAAAATGTGGCTCTTAATGGGAAAATGTGGGCAACCACGTGAACAACAAATCACGTAAAATTAGTTCGACACGGGACGTGTTGAACGAATCTCGTTGATCGGTGAGTGAATACTGAATCATTAAGCCGGCACTACGCGAAGAAAATATTATGCCTTCTTCCCGTATGAATTCTTTTCAATTTCGCCGTGCCTTTCGATCAATAGACTGCCTGGAATTTACCTCGCTGAGGAACATAGTGAAAATTTCATAAACATGAATATAACTTGAAAAATATATGTGGTGAACGTTTCAATAATAAATTTCAATTTCGAAAATATAAACAGCATTTGTGCATAGAAAAGAAATTTCAGTTCGTATAACTACAAGAAGATTATCGCCGGACGAAAGTCCGACGACGAGAAATGAAATCTCCGTTTGCCGCGAGACCGAAAATTCCCGTTGGAACGTACAGTTGTTTTAAAACTCGCTTGAGATAACTGAGGACAACCGACTGAATAGAAACCTCTTACAAAAATGTCAAACCGTATCCACAACCGATTTTCCGTCTGATCTTTTTCTTTCCAGTAAACCTAATCTATGTCTCGTAACGACAATGTTATCGTCGTCGTCGCTGCCTTTCTATTATATATTATACCCGCGTAACGAGTGCATAACAAAAACGACACCATCGTCAGAAATTACAGAAGCCCATAAACCACAAAAAATTCAGTTCCCAAATTGTTTCTTCCGCGTGCGATACACGCAAAAAATCTCAGTTTCTGCAACCGAACAGAAGGTGACAGGTGAAAACTCGACAACAAGAAATTATATGTCCTCGTAACTGCGACTGAGGACATTCGTGTAAACACACGGGTTTGTTCGGCTGTATTAAAGCTCGATTAAGACAACTGCATAGAAAAAAAGTTGGTATTAATTCACTCATGAGATTCACATTCTCATACATAAGCAAGAATATATATATATATATATATATATATATATAATCTTATACGAAGTTAAAACTTGCTTATATACGAAGAGAAATTCTATATGTAGTTTCATTAAAAGTATCATATCCTTGTTGTTCAAAAAATATTGTTTGTTGATTGAGATTGAGAGGAAAAAGCATCTGATATAGAAAGAACGATATCTTCAGACTGGATATAATTCTCAGTTTGGAAATATCGATCTTCCCATCCAATATTTTTTCCTCTCAGTTCGTGAAAATTATTCTCAAATAACAAGAATATATTTTCAACGGAATTATACATATAGAATTTCTCTTCATATATAAGAGCACACACACATATGCAAGCAAGTTTTATCTTCATATAAGATCATATATTCTTACTTATATGCTATATGAGAACGTAAGACTCCAATTAATTTTTTCCCATGCGACAACAATTGACCAACGAGCAAAGACTTTCCACAGAAATCGCCCTGTTCCCCCAGACGAGCTTTCGTCCGGTGCCCGGCGGCGTAAAATTCAGTCACTCCAATGGAATGATTTCTTCCGTGCGAGAAGCGCGTTCGTTTCGCGAGCGAATTTCGACGATGTTCCTCTCCCCCCGTCCAACGCGCATTAATCCTCCACATCTCTCTGCGCGTTTCTCTACGCCTCACATTTCACTCGCACACAGGAGCAAACACTCACCGATATTTCCGTAGCCACGTGTCGCATTTGTATCTTCGCGTTTCGCGCTCCTGCGTGTAAACCGCGACAACTTCGAACGCGCGAACAACCTCGTAGACAGGGCGCACAACCGTGGACGTTATATTGCACACACTGGGATGCAATTGGACAACTAGTTGATGGTAGTTACCGACGAGAGAGAAAGAGAGGGGGGGAGAAAGAGAGAGAGAGAGGGGGGAAGAGAGAGAAAGAGAGAGAAAGGGAGAACACCCACGCGAGAGACGCTTTGCCGGTGGGTAGCGCTTCCCGACTGACAGCGGCGGAGAGAGACGGCTCACCGAGGTGTCCCACAAACTGGCGGAAAGTGGAAGGAAGGTGGTGGAACCGCGTAACCGAGCCGCTGATGGATATGGGTACTTCCCTATACTACTCAAACCCGAACATTAAAGTGCTCTCTCTCTCTCTCTCTCTCTCTCTCTCTCACTGTCTCTTCTCTCGTGGCATCTCCATTATCGTGCTCTCCATTGGTGGATAATGCGAGAGGAACAAAAAGGACGACGAATAGAGATAGAGAGGAAACAGAGAGAAGCATAACAGGTAGACACGCACAGGTAATTAGAAGCAACAGGGAGCGAGACCCGACGGGGTTGGACGGCCCCTCGCACCTTATTGGCCAGTCGAGCGTGAGATTCTTCGATTGATGTTGCTTCAATTGTCGTTTTCACGAGGAATATTGGCGCGAGAGCCGACGACGACGCGCTCACCGCGGACCGTAAGTCGACGGAAAAATTCAACTCCCGTTCCCTCGCCTTCTCTGTGTGTGTGTATAGTGTGTGAAATATTTCTTATTTCGACACGTCGAATAAAACAAATTTCTCACCGATAACGCGCCTCTGTATCGACGGAATTACGGTTAGTCGTGCGCATAGTTCCGGGTAATACGGACGGAGGTGACTCCTATGTACCTTCGTGTTTGAAATCGGCCTCTTACGAAATCGCCCATCGACTCATACGGCTGTTTACTCTGGCGACGCGTATGGCGACAAACACGATGAGAAAATCCAACGGACACGACGCGTTTGTAATTCTGTCCAGTCGGACTGGGCAAATGACGAGCAATCCGGGGAGAAAAAGGTCGCGCGCGGAGGGGTCCGTTTATTTGTTCGTTGATAACGAACATGGTGGAGAGATAACAGAGAGGGACGAGGGAATGAGGCCTTGTCGACGTCGGCCATCGTTGCCAGCACTCAGCGATCGCCATTTTGTCAGCCGGCTTGACCATCGAGGGATGATTCATAACCAACACATTGACCAACCAGAATACTAAATTGAGAAAGATAGAAAGTTTCGACAGAATTCTTTCGTAGGGAACGCTTTTAGGTAC